ATTCGGTATCAGACAGAATTGCAAAGTCAATATAAAATACGGTTATATGATTGATCTTACTTGTGCTATTGTTGCGCAGTGTTTTCTCAGGTTTGTAGCATGAAATCTGTCAGGGAATTTCAAACCACACTCTCGCCTGGTTTCCTCAAGGCAGCTTGCTGCTCTCACAACATCCAAACCTGATATAATATTAACTTTTTTAAAGCAAACCACAACATACTGTGAAATCATTAATATTCATGGGGCACTTTTCATGGGTAGAGCAAACTGCAAATTTAATATCCACATGAAAGACATTATTAAAGAAAAAATTTGCTCAACTAAATTTAGTGGTCACGAAAATGTCCACCTTTGGAAAATCATGAAATTTTAGAGAAATGATTTCACAGTAATAAATTAAGTCAAATCATTTAGCAAAGAATCTTTCTTAACTAAGCCAAGAGAGATCTATCTGACTAAAGGACATTTGACGGCATGTGACAATATTGTGCTAAATGTGTATTATTAATGTTGTACCTGAGTTGGCAAACAGATATGGATTGTTTTCTCTGATCCCCGACTTCATTCTAATGACACGTTTGGCAAGATATTCCATGGCAGTTACAGCTTCCTGGGGGATGGTTACTGGTACCCTTGTTCCATTCTGACAAAAAAATCCGATAAAAATATGAGGTTTGAGAAAACAACCTCCTAAACTAAATCAAGTACACAGGTTATCTACCTTCAAGGTTGGACTTAAAAATATTAAAACATTTAGAAATACGAAATCAATTGCATAGTGCTTTTATTTGTGCCAGTGCTATAATATCATGCAAAATCTCATTCTCACCTTTCCTCTTATTACAAAAAGCTCTTGTGTATCCAGCATATGCTTTTCACGGTCTGTTAGCTAATGTCGCAGGGACATGTCGGACTCTGATACACTTTTCGACCTTTTTCTGTAGGACTCCAAGCTGAAGTGGCAAGTTAAAATAATATTTTTAGCAACAATCGAATCTTTCTATATGGTTCATAAGTAAACAATTTTCTTTGAAAAGCCTTAAAGGAGCTAAAGCTATCACTACTGGGGTGATTGATACCCAAAAGCACCACTTTCAGATGCATAACCTTGTCAGTGATGGGTAAGCCATTTTTTACATAGCGGAGTATGACACAACATGACGGAAGAAGGGCACAATTCCAATAAGTCCCTTTTGGGGTTATATTAATGTATAAATTATAGCCTCCTTTAGAGGTATAATGATTGATAAATTAATATTCAAGGAAGCTAAACAGAGAGAAAGAAAAATTATTCTTACCTTAAAGCCTCCAGCTCTCCTGGTCGTCTTCTGTTGTATAGTAATAATCGTGACTGAACAAGAGTTGCCACTTTCCGAAATGTCATGATGTTTGCTGAGGCTGGATCCAGTTCCAAGTTTTGAAGTTTATTGACAAGATATGTTGCCAGTTTCACAAAGTCTTCAGGGTCTGGCAGGGGATTCCTCCTGTTGAAACTCCTTTTTGCCAATTTTGCTCGTGAAAACCTATTGACTCTTGTGTTCCATTCCATTTTGAGTAGTTGAATGAAATCACTTGCCTCCTTCTGGCCAACCTAACTGATTTCTTTATGCTTTGTGCAAGCTTCAAGCCTGCCAAGCGCGAGATGTCAAACCCTAGCTTCAAAGGCACACTTGGGTGACACATGTCATCATTTCCCTGTTTAGAGGGGTCAGCATATCCACAAGTCAAGGAACTTTCTACAAACATATCAAACTCTGAATGTTTTATAGCCTCTGTGAAGCTCAACTAAGCCTGGTTTTTCCTCTTGCGCAGTTCCTTTAGCAACCTTGCCGCAAGCCTCATATGGAAGCTGCTGTAATTCCTACGTTTCCTTTTGTTGTCCACATTCTTCATAACCCAGATGTCACCTAGTCCAACAATGAGATCATCTTGTACGGCGAATTTCCCAACATCGTCCCTTTTCATGCATGGCATAACCTCCTTCTGCAGAATTTTAGATCCTTTCACGTTTATCTTGCCAGCTAAAATAGACACTGTTAAAATTGTGGTTCCTTTATGGAAAACTTCATTAAAACTCTGAGAAGCAGGGCAAGATTGTTGGTGGTAGGTAATATATTTTTCAAGGATTATCCATTCTTCACATTTTGGGCATGGTGCATAGTCTGTTACCTTAAAATGTGTATTCGAACTTCTTCTGGCCAATTGGAATTCACCTTTTCTGCACTTGAGTACTTTTTTGGTTATGAAATATGATAAACAAGATCAACAAGGAAAGGCGGCGTTTAATGAACGCAACCCCCACATGACCCAGCAACAAGAACCAATGGCAAGGAGCCCAGGGGGACCCCAAACAAAAACAGGACAGGGCAAAGACAGAGCACGGACAGGTTAATCATTAAATGATAATTAATTTGTAACTGATTAGGAATTCAAAGAAAATAAAAATAGGCCCACAAAGGGGAAGGGGACAGGAGACCGGGGGGGGGGGGGAGGGGAGTAATCAAAGAAATAAAAACTAGAGGCAATGGGGAAGATACTTACCGTAGACGAGAAAACAACAAGGGACACAAGCAAAAGTGTCACCAAAACAGTATGAAACAACATAAGACATACATCTGAGGAACACAGTGGGGCGCCGCCTTGGAACGGTCAGCAGCATAATAATGACTGCTGGGGTGTTTTAAACGGTTAATGGTGCACCAAACCTCGCTCTTAGCCCCACCATGTTCCTATAAACGAGACAGTGTAAATAAAATGAATCCCCGCCAAGTGAAATTCTAACAGTTGTCATGGTTACAAAAGGTTAAATAAGTAAAACACTAAAATGATCATGTAGAAACATATAAAAGTAAACCCAATGACCATAACAAAAGTACTCAATGTCCTAGAGGAAGACAGAGCAACAAGAAAATCACCTACAAGGGCCCGACGAAGCAAGGCAGAAGACGAACATTAAGACAATTCAGTCCCAAAGGGCTTTACGAACTATCCATCATAGAGTCTCCCACTTGGTCCGTATGAAGATTGTTTCCACGATTTGGCAACAAGGCCTGCTTAGCAGTGATTACCTTCTCTAATTCTCTCCGAGCATTTATTTCTGGTGTTGACTTTTTCTTTTCTTTGAGAGTCATTATTTCTTTAACCTCAGGTTTGTGAGCATGCCGACTAGACAGGTGTGTTTGAATATTTGTCTTTAGTTTGTGACAATAAATACATGCAAAAACTCTGTCATAGTTTCTACCATGTTTTGATTTCTGGTTACTAGTTTTCAACTTCTTTACATATACATTGATAAGCTCTTCATCATATTCACGATCTTCTTCATCAACTGTCCTTTCATCTGGAAGCTCATCATCTTAATCATTTTCAAGACTGTCGTCAGCCTGTTCTTTCAATTGACCTTTAGACAGCTCTTCTTGCTCATCTTCAGCAAGTTCTGGCATGTATTTAGACTGTTCTAGCTTGTCTTCAGCATATGTATTGTTAACTTTAGTTGCAACATCTGATTCTAGTTCTTTGACTTTTAGGCTGACTGTTTCATTAAGCAATTTATCAACTGCTTTGGACCAATCTCCAAATTCATTTTCAATTACAACAGACATGTATGAATCATCATCATCAGACCCACTTGTAGGTACATAATCTACATCATTATCATCATCCTCATCACGAGTGTCATCTTCATCGTAGATATCATCTTCATCTTCATTGGTGATGCCTCTAGCAGTATGGGTGTCTACTTCATTGATAATGATGTTTCCGTCAGCATGGGTGTCACTTTCATTATCATAGATGATGTCACTGTCAGTATTGGTGTCACCTTCATCTTCAATGATGTCTCTATCAGCATGGGTGTCACCTTCATCTTCAATGATGTCTCTATCAGCATGGGTGTCACCTTCATCTCAATGATGTCTCTATCAGCATGGGTGTCAACTTCATTATCATAGAATGATGATGTCACTGTCAGCATGGGTGTCACCTTCATTGTCATAGATGATGTCACTGTCAGCATTTGTGTCACCCTCATCTTCAATGATGTCTCTATCAGCATGGGTGTCACCTTCATTATCATAGATGATGTCACTGTCAGCATGGATGTCACCTTCCTCTTCAATGATGTCTCTTTCAGCATGGGTGTCTTCTTCATCTTCAATGTCTCTATCAGCATGGGATTCACCTTCATTATCATAGATGATGTCACTGTCAGCATGGGTGTCACCTTCATCTTCAATGATGTCTCTATCAGCATGGGTGTCACCTTCATCTTCAATGATGTCTCTATCAGCATGGGTGTCACCTTCATTATCATAGATGATGTCACTGTCAGCATGGATGTCACCTTCATCTTCAATGATGTCTCTTTCAGCATGGGTGTCTTCTTCATCTTCAATGATGTCTCTATCAGCATGGGATTCACCTTCATTATCATAGATGATGTCACTGTCAGCATGGGTGTCACCTTCATCTTCAGTGATGTCTCTATCAGCATGGGTGTCACCTCCATTATCATAGATGATGTCTCTGTCAGTACAGCACCCACACCTTTCTTTTGTCCCTTCTTTCTTTTGCCCACAAGTAATGTCCTAAAACATATATCTTTAATGTAACTAGAAGTATGTTTTTTGGTAGAAAAACATGTTTCTTCAAATATGAGCAGTCTGTATTTACCAAATGTAAACATTTTTTTTAGATTTTTAGTAATGGTGACCTTTGCCCTTGACCCTCAGTGATCAAATATAAACTAATTGGTTGATAAATAAAGCCTGTATGAGCAAAAGATTGGGTTGATGGCCTGCAGAGTTTACCTATGATTTGACCCATCAACCTAGTTAATATTCCTAGACCCAAATTCAAACTTGACCTAGATTTGGTACAGACGAATCTCTATAGTGTTCACAAGGTCAAGTTGATGAAAGATGGTGATAGACACTGAAGGATCACAATAGATCACACTGAGCCCTTTTGGGCAAATGAGCTAAAAACTCAACCAGTATACCTAATGGCTACGACAGGATTGTAAGGAAAGACAAATGCTAGGAGAATGTACAATAGCTTTACCTTTACTATAATATTTTTAATTTACTGCAATTTGATCTTAGAATAATCTCTTTCTTGTTTCGGCTCCTTTTTTCCTTCTTCTTTCGCAACAAATTATCTGTAAACCAAACAGTTGTTTTATTCTTCAAGAGCTGATCAGAGCTTTTTTAAGTGGTGGTCAAAGGGGTCACCAGATTTTCAAACCTGGTGACCCTTCAGCCATTCTGGGGACCCAACCAAAAGTTTTTATTGTAAAACCCAAAATATTTGTTTCAAATTTATTCTGTACATAACAAAATGTTAGTTGTCATTATCAGCCGACATTTATCTCAATAAAATAATAGCTTATAGTTTCTTTGCAACAGAGCAATCAATTCTTTACAAAACATAGCATTTTTTTCAAATTTAAGCCATTGATATATTTTGCTACATTCTGTATTCTATTTTAATCTTCTTGTTTATTGCCCAAGCTTGGATCCATTAAGCAAATCACACCCTGGGCGATTGTTTTGCACTTGGTAATCAATAATAAGACTATCTTTCTAAATGCAAGGCTGTAAATAATTATTTGACCTGTCTTTTTGTACAGTGTATATATATATTAATTTAGATCTATTGGACCAATATTTTCATTTTTCATGAATTCTAAAATATCAATTGGTCAGACAAAGATGAATTTGGTCCGAAAACCAACAAATTGTCATTTAGATCGATGGTGGTCAACCGGCTTCTGACATATGGTGGTCAGACGGGAAAATTGGTGACAAAGAGTCAAGGACCACCATTAGCGTCGAACCCTGCTGATAAAAAATTAGATAAAAGTTCTATGCACAAACAATGCAAGATATAGAGGGTTGATGTTTAACTGGTGTACAATAATACATAACAAGAAATGATATATATTTACCAGAGGCCAACTGTAAATCTGTAAGGAAACACTGTAATAATGCTTTCTTTTTTGCCAAGGATTCTGAAAAATATTATTTCAGTATTAATCATCATTATCAAAAAAATTATAAATATAGATGTGCAGCTTGCAAATACAGCATTTTTTCCCTCATATAACTGATACCGAAAAACGACACTATTGCCAATAGCAAAAAGACAGCAAATTTCCCAATCCATGACTGATGAATTCCAAAAATAATCCTAAAATTTTCCTCAAAACTAGGCAAATTTAAAGGTAAACCAGGCCTTTTCCCCCTATCCCACGGGTCCAAATATGGGCCTCAATTCCCATCCAAATTATTTTTTTTTCCAATCCAAAAAAAATATTTCAAATCAAAAAGTCAACAATTTGAAAGAAAAAGTACCGCATTTTAAATTTTGGTATCGCGAAAAAGCTTTAAGAAAGTTCCGGAAGTAATGAATAGTGATAGACTGTTTAACATGCTTAGTTAAAGTTGTATCCTCAAATTTACTAAATATATTCATGTTTTGTGAATAAAAACAGAATTTTGAATTGATATCAGTTTTACAGTTGTACACATTTTAGGCTGTCCTAGTATTTTTGATATGACAGAAAAAGCTGAACAGTTTATTATAAAGTAAGATTTATTTGGATTTATTTAAATTACACAACTGTAACACCTTGAATGCTAACATATTTTCCCAACTTGGAAAATTTCATGTAAACTTTTTTTCCCCAAATTGGAAAATTTATTGATTCAGTGAAAAGCATATTGATGATACATCGATATCAGCTGACAAATATTGGCAATACACCGATATATTGATAATTTCTCTTATTTTCTTATATATATAATACTTTTTCATACCTGTTTAAATGATTTTAGTAACATAAATATGTTGTGTACCTTTGCATGTTTGTTTTCCTTATTATATTTTGTCATAACTGCTATGAAATATGTCCATTGTGTAACAACAGCTTATTATTAGACGTGGTCATCTGCCTTTGTGTATGTTTTTAGTAAAATTGCATTATTTATAGACATTTAACCAATCAAAATAATCGATTTTTTTCAAACTGTGTATCGATTATTGATTGACAAAAAATATCAACGATACATCCATATTGTCTCTATCGATCATGACAGCTCTAATTTTATGACACAAATTTGCCATGTGGTGTTTTCCAAAAATAGAGGGAAAAGGGCCTGTAAACAAAAACTGTAATGAATGCTTCCATATTGACAGGTGATATACATAAAAACCAAGTATACTCATATGAGAGATATTCGTCCAGTGTTCATTTCCTACTTTTGCTGTTTTACACCTAAACATTATTTATGTACAATTGTTATCAATTTTTTTCAACCTCAAGTAGCAAATGAAAATCATTAAAGTTAATAATACATGGTGCGTATATCATGCATAATTTTCATTTCTCCCTGGATAAAAGAAATTCCCAATGAATATTTTGCAGCTTATGTAAAATTCCCAATTTGAGTCAAACCAATGCATTTTTTCCCAATATGTCCAGTACCGGCACTATTCCCAAAGCAGGGGAAAAAACCACTGAAATACCAAATTTCCATAGGAAGGGTGATAATTCTTAATAAGATTATGTCAAGCTCAATACTTATCACTAAAATATGAAATGACCAGGTGACGGAGGGTTTTCACTAAGTCGTCCTAGCTAGCCCAGTCATGGCGAATGTTTCAGACAATTCACAGGACGGTCACGTTTTCTCTGGTGGCAGAAAAAAAAATTTCAACTTAGTAAACTGAATTAAAGTCATGTTTTGGTTTAACAGGACAAAATACTCATAATTTTATTACATTATACAATATATGAAATATATTTTACAAAGGCAATTTCTTGCTAGACGAAATGTCTGACCAGGAGAAATTTTTTTACCAGACAGCAATTTTTATCAAAAAATATCTTGGTCCAGCGAGGTTTCCACATGACTTAAGTCCCCAATTCACAAAGTGAAAAGTGATGGGTCATATAAGTAACTGTTTATCAACTCAATCTGACTAAAGTATAGATCTAAGATAATGTTAGATCTGTAAATCATCCATCTGCAAGTTATTTCGACATAGTGTTATTTTCAATATTCTATAAAAAGACACAATCCTCATTTATTAGCAATCAAGCAATTAAATGGCCAGTCTCATAAAGCTGTTAGCCTAGATTTTCAATTTTAAACCTTTCTTTAATTCATTATTAAAAAAGGTGAAAATTAACAAGTTAAAACTAAAATAGATAAATCACTAACTGAATCAAGTTATCCCCAAACTCAACTTTCCCTTTCACAGGAATGAAGGCATGATCTGATTGTTAATTGAAAGGTCACAAGAAGGTGACCTCCTACTGGGGATCCACACATCATGATGTTTCTCATTGTTTTTTACCTCCGCTGCTGAAGAATATAGATTTGTTAAACGCGATGTCATTGGTAGATATTTTACGCACCTGTTGCTGTATATCGACGCAAATCGATTCATTTTACCCACGGTTGATTGCATGTTATGTGACATGTTTATCAATCGTGGGTATCCGACGATGACTGAAAACATGAACTTCAAGGTTATTTGATTGCTTTAATTTCAGCAATTTTGACAAATTTCAGTCATATTACCATTTGTTATTCATGTGCTATTCTACGAATTACCTAAGTAGAATGAGTAATTATCAAGAATGGTGACCAAAGAGGGAGCCAAACCCAGGTCTCGATCTAAAGCTATATGATCTACACAATTCTGGAAACAAAGTGATCCATGGCACCTGATCACACAAGTTGGTGTAGACATTCAAGACAGCAATCAAAACACATTTTGGCTGAATAAAAAGAGCGGTCACAGGACTGCAAACTCTATTGGAAAAGCTCTCCTTATTGTCCAATTAAGTCTAGCTAAAAATAACCCTCTCGTTATGTATGTATGTATGTATATATATGTATGTATGTTTGTGTATAATTATATATGTATATACATACCATACTTGTACCATAATGTCAAATAATACTTACACAGCATAATCTGACTTGCAGAAAACATCTATATTACCATCTGAACTGGTTTTTAGCACCTGAACAGGCCATCGCATAGTTGAAGGAATTCCCTTCAATTTGGCAAACACCCATTCATCGAGAATACTGAAAATATGCATGTACATGTAGTTTCAACACTAAGCTAGAGCTGCAACGACTACATTGGGTAGCGAATATGAATATGTATCACGATACAGGGTCACGAATACAAATATATTTCGTTTTTGACCCCAGAAGACCCATATACAATCCCAACTTAGATTTCGCACAGGCTGTCCTAGATTTCATCAAGACAAACATTCTGATCAAGTTTCATTAAGGTCCAAAAAAAATTATTTTGGAACTTTTTTCAATAAATTATGAGTTTAAACTCATAATATTTTTTAACTCATAAATATGTCCTGGACCAATGTTTTAACTCATAATAGTCATTTACAGGTGCGGACTGACAGACAGACGGACGGAGGAAAAACCTAAAGTCCCCTCCGGTAAACCGGTAGGGGACTAAAAGGCAAGGAAACAATAATTGTACCATAAAAAGTGCACCAGAACTTTGTAAGGACATATAATTTTGTTTGTTTGTTTGTTTCATTTTACGCCTTTTCCCAACAGTATTTTGGTCATATAGGCGGGTAGTTTCCTAACCATCATTCCTGGAGAGTTTCACCAGTACTAGACTACCTTCTTATGTGCTAGAAAGGACAAATAAGCAACGAATCAGGTTTACAGGTATGTATCGCTACATTACCCTGCTATTGAGAATGCCGTCTGAAAATGTTATTCAAGTTGAATTAAAAACCTTTTCCAAGTACCAGAGAGTTACAATATAATTAATTTGTTGATTTGAATTACCATGAAACAAATGATAGTAAGATATCGCGTGTTCAAGGATTTTTTTAAGCCCAACTTTTAGTAAATTGAGATTTATGTACGACTGTGTATCGTTGTGAAATGTTGTGTATGTATACAATCAAATATACAATGAATTTAAATATAATTAAGCATAAGACAGCATTTATTTTTGCATCGTGTACTAACGTTTTAGTTTGTTTTTACCTTATGCAGTATTTTATTAAGGGACCATAAACCGCTTATGGAATGGCACGGACGTGTCACATTAAAGATTCCAAGATGACCGCCGTTTGAACATTTCTGCGGATATGTGTTCATACAGCTGTTTTCATGGAACCTTCAATGTGAAACGTTAATTCCATTTTGTGAAAAGCAGCGAATGGTACCCAAATAAAATTGTGAGTATGCCCTAAGGCAAAACCAAATAAACGGAATTTTGAAGAAGAAAAACAAAGAAAAAAACACGTTGTTTTATCTTTAGATTTTTTTAGTTTGCCGTTTAAAAGACAAGAATAAAGATCAACAAGGCAAAGGCAACGTTCACAGGACGCAGCCTCCGACACACCCAAGTAGGGCACCCAGATAGCACCAAACCAAAAGCTGGAGTGAACATACGGGCGGTGAAAGTTGAGGGACATGTAATGTGTGAAATAATATAAATTAAAACGGGCCCATATGGGAATTAAAGGAATAAGGGCTGTACGGGTGGAAATTGGAGGGGATTAAAGAATGGGATGGGTGTGAGAAAATACCTACCGTAAACGACATTCCAACAAAAGGCAGATATCACGAAACATGTAAACATTCAAAAGCAAGTAACAACACAGACACGAAAAACACGTGAAGGAACACAGAGGGGTACAGCCTTGAAACGGTCAGTGGTAGTTAAACCACTGGGGAGTTTAGACCGGTTTTAGGCGCGTCAAACCTCACTCTTAGCCACAATATGTTCCTGAATGACATGAAAGTGTAAATAAAATAAATCCCCGCCAAGTGAAATTCTAACAATGGTCAAACCTTATAATGTTTGAAAATTTGCGTTGACAATGACATATATTGAATGAATGCGAGTATCATAACAATGCTTTAAAATGTTTTCTTGTACATGTATGTAGTTTTAATAATATAATGCATTCTAAGGAAGTTATTTTGGAATCTAAGAACTTGTGTAAATGTTTCTGATTGAAACAAATTGCTAGAGGTTATCTGGACAAACAGCCAGACAACGTTGCTGGAGAAGGTCATTCATATGTCTCAGCCTGTCCAAATGAAGGCAATCAATTATAGTTAACCAATACCGTTAGAGCTAATGATGTCCGTACAATAGTGTTTCAAGTGAAAATTGACGTTGCCTTATCTGCAAATACAGTCTATATAAGGGATCTCACACCGGTTGCCGGTACAAACCGAAATATCTAGCTCGAGGGTAACTGCTAACGGCGTAAACGAGGCTCTGCCGAGTTTCCGCTTAACACTTCTCCGACAGCTAGATATTCGTGTCTGTGACGACAGCCGATGTTTGATTCATTTTCTTGCATATTACAAATAAATGATATTTCGAAAGGAAAGGAAATTACGAAAACTTATATTTTATCTAGCAACTTAATTTTTTAATAGTAGCCTGTAAATTAACAACTTCATTCAAAACAACAGAATGACGTCAAGAACGCAATTCATTCATAAAAGGCGTGTGGGAATGACGTCATTTAACACACGCGACTTGGCTTACATGTGGGGTGTTAGACAGAGTTTTCTTGCACCAGCTTAAATAGTAGATAATCCTGTCTAATATGCAAGAAATAATTATAACGTAAGAACTTTTTGGGTGAATATTGAATGATTTAATCAAGAAAATAAACGCTTACTATTGTTAAACCTTATATAAGATACGTGGTTATATGTTCCTTTTTGTTTTAGTTAAAGTTTTACATGGAAAATATTTTCTTTATTAGACATTCTTATATTGTGAATATTACAGGATGCAAAGATTCAACGCTGACTTAAATTATTTTCAAATATTATCTTCGTTGTAGTTTGAAGTTGTTAACTTCCAAATCAATAGTAAAAGTCAAATTGAACAATTTTTGTTTTTATAATAGAGGTAAAATGACTGAATAATTTACAGAATAATAAACATAATAAGAGTTAAGAAAGATAAATATCTCCTTCTAGATAAATAATGTTATGCTTTACCATTTAAGTGATAGGTCTTAAAAAGGAAAGAAAATGAAATAGTCTGTTCAGTGACAAGTTACATGCTATGACAGACTAATATAGTAAATGAAAAGCAAAATTAATATCTAGAGAAAAACATGCTGCCGTTGCCGCTAATTAAAATATGCTCCTCGAATAAATCAACCATTTTTGAAGCAACGGTCACCATATTTTGCCATGTACTTGTCTTGCTTATTGATTTCATTTAGAATATTGAGGTCTTTGAGCTACTTCTTTTGCAAATACATTTAGCTCTATACATTTCCGTAACATGACACTATTGTCAAGAACCAACCATTGCATAACAATAGAATAATTTCAATAATTTACCTGTGCTTTTCAACGGATCTACCATTTATGGAAATTAAAAGCACTTAGTACTGGCGCATAAAATAAGGTCTCAAAATGACAGTTTGTTCTGTATAGATCAAATGATATCATTAAATGAGTCTGATTAATAAGAAATATTGCTTTGCTATAAAAACATTCATTTGAGTAATGCGCAAAGTTTCTGTCAAAATTTTTACCGGGATAATATCCTTTTTTGGCAGTGATGTCTAAACTAATGCTTTGTCACGATTGCCTCGAACACAATCCAGTGAAATGGGAAGTACTGCCACTAAATCTGTCGGGCAAAATAATATGATTTGTTCCTTGAATAAATTGAATTTGGATTTAAAAGTATTTATCTGCATCAATTGAAAAATTTAAAAGAACTATATCTTGAGGCCACAAGATAATAAAATAATGTAAATGTCACATCTGTACCACCGTAAAATGCGGCAATATTCAACAAGCACTCCTCAAATATATTTGCTATTTTGTTTTTCAATTTTCTATAGCAACAAGGACGAACATTGAGTGTGATTTTCCAAAGACAAAAAAGTACACTAATGTAAACGATGAACTTATCTCATTGATAATTATTATTAAGTATTTGCTTACATTTATGTCCCAACTTATCTGATAATTTAAATTTGTGGCAATTGACCTCGCATTGACGACAAAAGTGTTACATAGTTCTTATGTTTAATTATAATTAATCTGCCAATACATCTTTATAAGCACTTTGACATTAATTCTCTCTGAGAAATCAGCTGATAGGGAAAATTATCTGTTTAAGCTGTCAACAAAATGCAATGCAGTTGCGGCCTTTAAATGAGATAAACATTATGCATGATTTGTCTGTAGAAACACATGTGCAAAGTGATATAAGCAACTTTTTTCTTACGTATCAACAAAGTGACGACTAGCGTTCTTTATCTCTAATGTATGTTTGTTTTATTGTTTTTCTTTAAAAATGAATTTTGACTTTTTCTTTGTATTTTTTGCTATTTAATGCACCTTATTCTTAAGTGTACTTTCAAGTTCATAACATCTGATCCCTTTTAAAAAATTCCATTCTATTTACGAGTATAAAACATCTGTAGAATTAATTATTAATAAATGATGTCAGTCATACATGTAATACGTGGGTAGGGATGTCTTGAGCATTAAAGAAGCTATGAAAATCTCATATATAATTATAAAATACGGTATTGTACGTATAATATGCAAAAGCTTCCTTCCGTAAGAAAGTTTGAGTTGATTGACCTAGCATTATCAAAAAAATAACCCAAATCTCATTTAGTGCTTGATAGGTTTGTGACAGGTAAATGGTAAATATATTGCAACATGAACTGGGACATCCACTTAATCTGTTGTCGTCTGGAAAGATAAGCTATTTAAACTGTCGTATTACATAAACACGGTTTCGAATTTCGGTTTCGAATTTCGGAAAAGTATAAAGAGATTATTGCTTTACAGACTTTTTTTAAAATTTGAATACAAATAATGCTGTTTACATACCCTTCACCTTGCTTGCCATACTGATTATTGTTCAATTATTTCACTAATTATTTTCATTATTATTAGTATAAAATTTATTTATTTATTTATCTATTTATTACTAGTATAAGTTTGTTATTATTTAATATTTATTATTATTATTATTATTATTATTATTATTCTTATTATTATTATTATTATTATTTTTATTATTATTATTATTATCATCATCATCATCATCATCATTATTATTATTATTATTATTATTATTATTATAATCATCATCATCATCATTATTGTA